CCCAAAGTGCTGGGATTACAGGCTTGAGCCACCGCGCCCGGCCTACAGCAGATGTTTAATGGAGGTACACTGATTTTTAGAGAAAAAAGGAGGAATGCATACATTTTATGAGGCAGCAGCTTAGGACTGATGAAACAGGTGCCATGAAAACTGAGCTGTAGCTTTAAGAAGAGTAGTGGTGGTTAATATGAAATGCTGCAGAGTTCGTTAGGAGAATGTCCAGAAGGATTTGCAAAGGAGGTACTAATGTGGGCTGAAGCCATGAGGTGGAACAGGTGTAGGGAAACTTCGTTTAGTGGGAGCAAATGAGGAAAAATATCCTTCTTGAATTAAAAAATAACAAAACCGATAAAAGTATGTACGAAGGAAGTGAGGAAAAAGGAAAACATAGAAGTTGCCTCTAATTCTACTACTTTTTTTTTTTTCTTTTGAGACAAAGTCTCGCTCTTGTCCCCCAGGCTAGAGTGTGATGGCACCATCTCAGCTCACTGCAACCTCCGCTGTCCGGGTTCAAGCGATTCTCCTGCCTTAGCCTCCCGAGTAACTGGGATTGCAGGCGCCTGCCACCATGCCTGGCTAATTTTTGTATTTTTAGTAGAGACGGAGTTTCACCATGGTCTCGATCTCCTGACCTTATGATCTGCCCGCCTAGCCTTCCCAAAGTGCTGGGATTACAGGCGTGAGCCACTGCGCCCAGCCTGATTCTACTACTTTAACACAGTTCTTGAAGTTTTTATGTGTTCCTTCCAGTATCTTATTTTGAAAATTCTTTTCATTGTGAAATATCACACACAGACAGAAGTAATGCATGAACATACATGTGTACTTAATAAATTACTATAAGGCAAACACCCATGTGACCAAGGTCAATAAGCACAACACTGCTAGGTTTCTTGCAAGCCTTCCGTGTGCTCATCCTCATCCTCCAATAAAGCCAATCATCTCTTTGCTTTTATGGTAAAGTAGCTTCCTTGGTTTTCTGTATAGTTTAATCAGCTGTTTGCATTTGTGTTCACTATAGTTTAGGTTTGTGTGTTTGTGAACTTTATATAGAAAGATTTATAATGTATTTATTGATTTGCTTCTCCAAATTATTTTTAAAATGTTTTTGGCTGTGCATGGTGACTCATGCCTATAATTCCAATATTTTGGGAGACTGAGTTGGGAGAATCACTTGAGGCCAGGAGTTTAAGACAAGCCTGGGCAACCAAGAGAGACCCTGTCTCTACAAAAAATTTTTAAAAGCTAGCTAGGCATGTGCCCATAGTTCTAGCTACTTGAGAGGCTGAGGCAAGAGAACCACTTGAGCCTAGGAGTTTCAGGCTGCAGTGAACTGTGATTGTGCCACTGCACTCTAGCCTGGGCAACAGAGCAAGACCCTATTTTTTTTAAAGTTAAAATATTTTTTTTTTCATTGTACAAGTAAGTATACCACAATTTATTCTTTCTATTATTGAGGGCTTCTTTTTTGCACATTTAGAGATACTGCAAGCAATGTTGTTACTGTGCTTGTATCCTGATACATATTGGCACGTTTCTCTGTGGTTTATATATAGGACTGGAATTGCCAAGTTGGAGGATAATGCACCTCTTTAAGTCATTAGATAATGCCAAAATGTTTTCCAAAGACCCTTGACTGACTTATACTCCCACAAACACAGTAAGTGAATGCCTGTTAGGCATCATAATTTTCACCTATCAGAAGGGTGTGCAGTGGTGGCTCGTGGTTTAAACTTGCATTTGTCAGGCTGTTAATGAAGTTGAGCACCTTTTCACATGTTTATTGAACATGTAGGTATCCCCATCTGCGAAGTACATCTTGAAGATTTTTGCTCATTTATCTACTGGATTCTTTTATTGATTTGTAGAAGTTATATATTTTAGATAGAAATCCTTTGCTAATTATATGTACTTCAAAATCTTTCACATGTGGCTTATTTTGTTTTACCTTCATAGCTTATTTTGATGAACAGAAATTCTTAATTTTAGTGTAGTCAGATGTATCAATCTTTTCCTTTATGTTTAGTATTTTTTTAGCCTGTTTAAGAAATATTTCCCTACAAAGGGATTATGATGAAGACATCTTCCTATATTTTCTTTTTAAAAAGCCTACTTGTTTTGCGATTCACATTTAAATCCATTGTTCACTTTATTTTGTCATGTGAGTTAGTAGTCAACTTTGCTATCTTCTGTATGGAGATCCAGTTATCACAGTACCATTTATTGATACATCAACCCTTTTCCTCACTGTTTTGAAATTAGTTAAATGTCAATTTTTGTGTTTGTATGTTTCTAGGTTCTCAATTCTCTTTCATTTTTCTCTTTGCTCAAATCTATACAGCCTTAGTTATAGATTTAATGATTAACATTTTATTGTATTTGTCTTACCCCTGCCCCTTTTTTTCCTCTGAATTATTTTAAGTAAACAGGGCTACCATTTAAGAGTTGTTGCTGCAATCTAGTGTAGATCTAATCATTACCTGAACTATGTAGGTATCCAGGGAGCTGAGGGAGGTAGACAGATTGGAAATAAAGTGAAGAAGTAGACTCAGAAGGACCTGGCAATTGGCTAGATGGCAGACACGAAGACTGAGAAGTTGTGGTTGACATTAGTCTTTTTGGTGGTATGATTGTTTCCTTAGTAAAAAAAGGATCAGCAAGTTGGTAGGGGAGGAGAAGATTATATTGAGACTTGTTGAGTTTTGGGTTTCTGTGGGATATGAATATATAAATCCAGTAGGCAATTGAGTATCATATTCAAGAGGTTTCAAATGCATATTCCTAAGCCCCACCTTGGAAATTCTAAATTGGTAGGTTTGGGGTGGAACCAAATAATTTGCATTTCTTTCTTTTTTTGGCTAGTCCAAAAAAAAAAAAAAAAAGCAGTGGGAATGGAGAAACAAAGAAATCTATAACTAGTTGTGATCAATGACTTGTAAACTCCACTGCATTCCGACCAGCCAGAATTTGCATTTCCAACAAATGACCAGATGATGCTGATGCTGAACTAAAGTAGACATTTAGGAGTTACCTGCACAGCTTCTTAAAATATTGAATTTTCTTTGTAAAATCGTTCCATTCTGTTGTTATTCTTAAGCAACTTTCCTCAGTTTCTTTTCTAGATTGCTTCTCTATAGGAATGTTAGTGAATTTGTATATTTATATCTCTTTATCTTTATTATAGAAATAAAAATACGGTTGGGTGCAGTGGCTCACACCTGTAATCCCAGCACTTTGGGAGGCCAAGGTGGGCAGATCACCTGAGGTCAGGAGTTCAAGACCAGCTTGGCTAACATGGTGAAACCCGTCTCTACTAAAATACAAAAATGAGCAGGGTGTGGTGGTGTGCGCTTGTAATCCCAGCTACTCGGGAGGCTGAGGCGGAAGAATCGCTGGAACCTGGGAGGCAGAGGTTGCAGTAAGTCGAGATCATGGGCGACAGCAAGACTCTGTCTAAAAAAAAAAAGAAAAAAAGAAAAAGGAAGGAAGAAAGAAGGGAAGGAGGAAGGGAGGGAGGAAGGAAGGCTCTAAATCTTTCTAGATTTTTTTCCTGCAGATACCATTGTAGTATATAGAATAGTTTCACTGCACTAAAAATTCTCTGTGTTCTGCCTAATCATCCATTCCTAACGCTTGGCATCTACTGATTTTTGTTACTGTC